CCTGCCACTACCACACTTGCCACTACCACACTCCTGCCACTACCACACTTGCCACTACCACACCTGCCACTACCACACCACTGCCACTACCACACCTGCCACTACCACACTTGCCACTACCACACCTGCCACTACCACACCTGCCACTACCACACTTGCCACTACCACACCTGCCACTACCACACTTGCCACTACCACACCTGCCACTACCACACCTGTCACTACCACACCTGCCACTACCACACTTGCCACTACCACACCTGCCACTACCACACTTGCCACTACCACACCTGCCACTGCCACACTTGCCACTACCATACCTGCCACTACCACACTTGCCACTACCACACCTGTCACTACCACACCTGCCACTACCACACTTGCCACTACCACACCTGCCACTACCACACTTGCCACTACCACACCTGCCACTACCACACTTGCCACTACCACACCTGCCACTACCACACTTGCCACTACCACACCTGCCACTACCACACTTGCCACTACCACACCTGCCACTACCACACTTGCCACTACCACACCTGCCACTACCACACTTGCCACTACCACACCTGCCACTACCACACTTGCCACTACCACACTTGCCACTACCACACTTGCCACTACCACACCTGCTACTACCACACCTGCCACTACCACACCTGCCACTACCACACCTGCCACAACCACACCTGCCACTGCCACACCTGCCACTACCACACCTGCCACTACCACACCTGCCACTACCACACCTGCCACTACCACAACTGCCTCTACCACACCTGCCACTACCACTCCTGCCACTACCACACCTGTCACTACACACCTGCCACTACCATACTTGCCACTACCACACCTGCCACTACCACACCTGCCACTACCACACCTGCCTCTACCACACCTGCCACTACCACTCCTGCCACTACCACACCTGTCACTACCACACCTGCCACTACCATACTTGCCACTACCACACCTGCTACTACTACACCTGCCACTACCACACCTGTCACTACCACACCTGCCACTATCACACCTGCCTCTACCACACCTGACACTACCACTCCTGCCACTACCACACCTGTCACTACCACACCTGCCACTACCATACTTGCCACTACCACACCTGCTACTACTACACCTGCCACTACCACACCTGTCACTACCACACCTGCCACTACCACACCTGCCACTAACACACCTCCCACTACCATACCTGCCACTACCACACCTGCCACTACCACACCTGCCACTACCACACCTGCCACTACCACTCCTGCCACTACCACACCTGTCACTACCACACCTGCCACTACCATACTTGCCACTTACCACACCTGCTACTACTACACCTGCCACTACCACACCTGTCACTACCACACCTGCCACTACCACACCTGCCACTAACACACCTGCCACTACCATACCTGCCACTACCACACCTGCCACTACCACACCTGCCACTACCACACCTGCCACTACCACACCTGCCACTACCACACCTGCCACTAACACACCTGCCACTACCACAACTGCCACTACCACACCTGCCACTACCACACCTGTCACTACCACACCTGCCACTACCATACTTGCCACTACCACACCTGCTACTACTACACCTGCCACTACCACACCTGTCACTACCACACCTGCCACTACCACACCTGCCACTACCACACCTGCCACTACCACACCTGCCACTACCACCAACACCTACGTCCAAGAGAAGCCAGGATCAGCTTCACATTATCTGGCTCACAAGCTTTGTGTTTATGGGGATATTGTGTGCCTAAGACAGGTGTGTGATGGTAATAAGGACTAGAAGGCAGAATACACATATGCTACTTACTACAGAAATCGATGCTACAGCAGCTACAACGACCACTAACCCCCTGCATGTGCTGTGCCAACAGGAGAAGATGCTAGAATTCATTATTGCTTTCTACATTGTCACTCAGATCAGTAGATGAATGGTTCTCTGAACCATTCATCTACAAACCTGTCAGACTCTGCAACTTTTTGGGATCTTAATACTTGGGAATTCTTCGCTTGCCTAACTCTTGGGCACGACCTACTTCCACATTGAACAAATGTGACACAACCTATGACTGCTGCACCTCTCCTACCAACGGTTTATAAGCTCCTTCTCCGCACGTATGCCGTATTCTATTCAAGATTGATGGACTGACCACATCGACTCAAGGTTGAGGGACTGATTACCTCATTCTCCTTCTGTTCTTCAAGATTCTCCTTTGTATGGACTGATGAAGCCACTGTGTGGCGAAACGTTTCCTCAATAAAGATACCCAAGAGTTGCATGTGTGTCTAATTTATCAACACTCAGTTCAGTCGAGTGGTCACACCAGCAGCTATCATCAGGAGGCTGGATTAGCGGCAGGAGGATCGAGCCTCAAGCACTCTGCATAATAAGTATCGTGTTGCCCAGAGTATATTAGTTTGCAATGAAATTACAAACAATTACACCCTCAACATCTTCCATCAATCTTGTCTTAAATTTCGCTTTTATTATTATAGACTAAATAGATTCACGTTCACGACGTTCACGTCATGATGTTCATAACATCTGTATGTTCATACAGATGTTCATACAGATGTTCATACAGATGTTCATACCGATGATCTGGTGTTAAGATGTTGAAACTGAGTGTTTGTGTTGTCCTCGTCTCTCAGACATCGTGTGTGTGTTGTCCTCGTCTCACAGAGTCATGTGTGTGTGTGTTGTCCTCGTCTTTCAGACGTCGTGTGTGTGTGTTGTCCTCGTCTTTCAGACGTCGTGTGTGTGTGTTGTCCTCGTCTTTCAGACGTCGTGTGTGTGTGTTGTCCTCGTCTTTCAGACGTCGTGTGTGTGTGTTGTCCTCGTCTTTCAGACGTCATGTGTGTGTGTTGTCCTCGTCTTTCAGACGTCGTGTGTGTGTGTTGTCCTCGTCTTTCAGACGTCGTGTGTGTGTGTTGTCCTCGTCTTTCAGACGTCGTGTGTGTGTGTTGTCCTCGTCTTTCAGACGTCGTGTGTGTGTGTTGTCCTCATCTTTCAGACGTCGTGTGTGTGTGTGTTGTCCTCGTCTTTCAGACGTCGTGTGTGTGTGTTGTCCTCGTCTTTCAGACGTCGTGTGTGTGTGTTGTCCTCGTCTTTCAGACGTCATGTGTGTGGTCCTCGTCTTTCAGACGTCGTGTGTGTTGTCCTCGTCTCTCAGACATCGTGTGTGTGTTGTCCTCGTCTCTCAGACATCGTGTGTGTGTTGTCCTCGTCTCTCAGACATCGTGTGTGTGTTGTCCTCTTCTCTCAGACGTCGTGTGTGTGTTGTTCTCGTCTTTCAGACGTCGAGACAGAGTAAGAAACTTACTCTCAACTTGCTAAAAAAAAAAAGTTCCCGTCATGGTAGGTTCCTTGATAGCAGTGAGAGGGGCTCTTGATCCAAGGAATTTGACCTGGCTTCTTTTCCCTGGAACGAATCAGAGAGCTTCCCATTCCCCTCCAGGCGCTACATGACAAAGTGTTTAGGTAAGTATAATGTTAGGTAGGAAACAAGACAAGTGTTTCCTGACGCGGGTCGTAGATATATGATGACCCACAGCTGGAGCTTTTGGTCATCTGACCGAGGCCTTCCGCTGGCTTACCGGTCCACCAATTTAAAACTTGGTTAATTTGGTTTAAATCCTATCACTACACTATGCGTGTTTAATGTTGCTCGTCATCCTTTCACCACAAGACAAAGAAAAAAACACATTAATCCCTAAAATAATGATTAAACGAACTTTAAACATACATGTGCTGAGAGATATACAACTTAGGTGTATGTTCTGTGTATCATAATTTTTGTTAATAACTCTGAAAGTGAACATAAATCATTCTCTTTATATTTTGTGACTCACGAAGCACAAATTAAAACGTTCATATTTTTATTTTGTGAGACTGTTAATCCAGTGTCCTGTATGAGACATTTTATCAAAAAAAAAAAAATCTTTTTGCATGTTGGTTAATATCAGGCAGGTCTTATTAACTGTCACTATCCATTAAAACTTGAAGCAAGGCAGAATTTACAAGCTTTCTTAATTAAATGAGACCTTTCTTCTTCACCAGTTTTATTCTCTGACAACCAGTTTAAAGTTTTATGTAACCTCTTCCTGTGTTGCGACTCTGATAGACTGACTGGTGAGATAAGCGGACAGAGGATCGAGTCTCCACCTCTCCTGCAGTTAAATATACACAACATGATCGCTCTGTGTACTAGCACAGTACTGTGCTTATGATCACCGTCAACAATGATTCACAATACTGTGGCTGATGTAATTCATATATAACAATATATTAATATCTCTACTACTACTACTAAAGATGGAATTAAATGGTATAAAATAACGACACAATGGAAATATATTTCCATTCTACTACTAGTACCGTCACCGCCACCATCACTAACTCGTTTCTTCCTTTCGATCTTTTGTTCTGGGCTTCTCTGCTTTTCCTCGTTCAATTGTGACCTGACAATGGTCCAGAATGGACCGAAATGCCATAAGTTTCCTCCCGCAAGTGTAGTTTATTTGTGAGATTACCACCTTGTATATCACCAGTGTGGCAGGCACAGCAGCACCACTGACTGTCTTCCACCTGTGTTGCAGGTACAAAAGCATCATTGACTGTCTTCCACCTGTGTTGCAGGCCCAACAGCACCAATGACTGTCTTCCACCTGTGTTGCAGGTCCATTAGCACCAATGACTCTTCCACCTGTGTTGCAGGTCCAACAGCACCAATGACTCTTCCACCTGTGTTGCAGGCCCAACAGCACCAATGACTGTTTTCCACCTGTGTTGCAGGCCCAACAGCACCAATGACTGTCTTCCACCTGTGTTGCAGGCCCAACAGCACCAATGACTGTCTTCCACCTGTGTTGCAGGCCCAACAACATTATTGACTGCCTTCCACCTGTGTTGCAGGCCCAACAGCATCATTGACTGTCTTCCACCTGTGTTGCAGGTACAACAGCGAGCAACACAGGCAACGATGGGATCAAGTAAGCAGGGAGGTGGAGGAGAGAGGTACCTACGACCTGACACAGACAGAGCTGGTGTATGGTGCCAAGTTAGGCTGGAGGAACGCACCCAGGTGTATAGGTCGTATACAGTGGTCAAAACTGCAGGTAAGCCAGACTCTACTGGTCCTTGTATCGAGGTTGGTTGATTACCTTTAAACCTATTAACTGCATGAGGGTCATTATGGCATACTGTTACCTATACTACCAAAGATATTTTAATACCTAAAACAGGTATACGTCATGTACTATATATGTCATCTTTATATCAACAATGTATCTCTTAAATGTTTTGTGAAAAAGAATGAAAAGATGGGGTGGTAGGGGAAGTGGAATATTCAAATGGCTTCAGAAAGAAATCCAGATATTCTCCCTTGAAGCCTTTTTATGAACTTCTCCGAGGCTGTGGGTCCCACAATTTACACCAGAGGTGGACCCCATCTATATAGATCATGATTACATTCCACTAGATTCAAATATCATAATCCCGTGGCTAAAACATTTCGCCAAAACTCCTGGCTTAGGAAAGGAAGCTAACTGACGACGTTTCGGACTGTCTTGCACCACTGACATGACAGTGACCCAGGAGGGACCGAAACGTCGTCATACTCTCAATCTTCCTCCATTACACTCCAAACTTTTTTTCATACTCTTCTCCTTTTTTGTTGAATCAGACGAGTGTCAATTTTTTCCCAAAGGAGAAGAGGTCCTCTCAGAACCCAGAGTCTCGCCTCATTAAAATCTGTCAGTGGAAGGACTTGAAAACACAGCTAATGAGGTTACAATCAATCCACTCTGAGAGTTGTGGTTGATGGAGTGTTGCTCCGCCATCCTCTCTCTGCTATTCAATTTCTCTCCCACCGGGATATATATTGACTTGATTGGATATACTCTGTGGTAATGCATATATATATATATATATATATATATATAATATATATATATATATATATATATATAATATATATATATATATATATATATATATATATATATATATATATATATATATATATATTAACGTTTTTTGTGCGTGAATACAGAAAGTTGTGTCTCCCATGTCTGTTGCAGTGTAGACTTTATGTTGAGGGACTGAGATTACCTTACCTTCCTTATTATCTTCTACCTCTTCAGTCTTCGGTATTGTATGGATAAAGCCACTGCTTGGCAGAACAGCAACAGAATAAATATACCCAGATGTTACACATGTGTCTAAATTATTATCTGTTAGTTATTATTTTAATCATCTCCGCTCTGTCTGGGGTTGACATAAAGATGAGTTATGTGCTAAAACCAGTTTTGATGTAATGTTTATTGGTACTGGATATTCAGTGTCTTGTAAAATGTAAATTATGGCTTGATGTGAGCTGTGTTGCTAGTGTGGGTTTATATTTGAGCATTCTGGAAAGTGTTGAGCTAAAATTATCATTGTGTTGCAGGTGTTTGATGCTCGCTATGTAACCACTGCCAGCGGTATGTTTGAGGCACTCTGCAACCACATCAAGTATGGCACTAACAAGGGTAACCTCAGGTGAGTGTGTGTGGATGGTGGGGGTTAGGAGAGTGTGGGTATTGTGGACTGTGTGGGGTTGAGGTGAGGGAGGAGAAGAATGTTGCATAAATTTTACCTGATTTCCCTCACTCAAACACTCATTACATCTAAGCAGAATAAAATTTTGAATCTCTGGGCGTCACTTTGATGTTCAGTAGGTGTTCGTCTCCTCTGTAACCACAACACATTTGTCAACATATCTTTACCTATACGCTACAAATTCTTTTTATTCTTTTTCATTCCCCATTTCCGTACACGTTCCCGTTGTTTGCATCATTGCAATCTATTGCATGATCTTATTTTCCTCTGAGGTGTTTATTTCCTCAGCTCTTGTTGTGAACGCATAATTAATGCGCTCATTACAATACAGAAAAACGCTTGGGAATTTTATTGAAAATTTTCACAATACGTTACGATTTACATAATGGTTCAATACAAAAATAAATTGTTAATGTTAATAATAATTTTCCGTAGTTATCTTGAGGTTACGATAGTTAGGTAACTTATAACACTTAAATTTATTACTTAATGACCCACTAGAACTTAAGTGTCTCTTTGTTAATGGTAAATTACTTTTTTCAGTCTAGTGACAGTAATATTTTGTCAAATTCTGACGAGGACATGGAAAAAACGAGACTGGGGAAATGTAATTAAGAGAAGACGTGTGTCGCGCGGCCACAACACCGACGCTGCTACTTTGATACTAATTGCGAATCTAGAACGTAAATAATACATTCCTGAACTTGATGGTCAATCATCATTTTAAGTTTAAATACAGTCACAATGATCTATGAAAGTTTAAATACAATCACTATGATCTATGAAAGATATCATTATGTCCTTGTACGCCAGATTTATTTTACTTATTATTATTATTTATTTTATTATTATTATTATCATTTATTTTATTATTATTATTATTATTATTATTATTATTATTATTATTATTATTATTATTATTATTATTATTATTTTCGCCCGGGTCTTTTCCAAGTAGTGGTGACCCGGCCTTGGCTCCCTATCTGGGGAGTATCTCGAGACTTAAGTCTCCCATGGAAGGAGGTACAAGTACCCCCCTCATCTTTGGGACCAAGTGTCCCCAGGCCTAGCCACAGTCCCCGCCCTCACGGGGCTCGTAGGGAGAAGCTAGGTCTCTCTGGTCTGCCATCTGCCCCGCCCCAAAGGGGCTCGTGGGGATGGCAGTCTTGTGAGCTGCAGGTGGTGGCAATACTGGTGTAGGCTATATTGCAACCTCTGGCATTAGCATAGGCTGTATTGCAACCTCTGACACTGGTGTACGTTGTATCGCAACCTCTGACACTGGTGTAGGTTGTATTGCAACCTCTGACACTGGTGTAGGCTGTATTGCAACCTCTGACTCTAGTGTAGGTTGTATTGCAACCTCTGACACTGGTGTAGGCTGTATTGCAACCTCTGACACTGGTGTAGGCTGTATTGCAACCTCTGACACTGGTGTAGGTTGTATTGCAACCTCGACACTGGTGTAGGTTGTATTGCAACCTCGACACTGGTGTAGGCTGTATTGCAACCTCTGACTCTAGTGTAGGTTGTATTGCAACCTCTGACACTGGTGTAGGCTGTATTGCAACCTCTGGCACTGGTGTAGGCTGTATTGCAACCTCTGACACTGGTGTAGGTTGTATTGCAACCTCGACACTGGTGTAGGTTGTATTGCAACCTCGACACTGGTGTAGGTTGTATTGCAAACTCTGCACCAGTGAAAGCTGCATTGCAACCTTTTTTCATAATTATCTATCCCAGTTATCTTTTAATTCGTTACCTAAAAGCTTTCCACAGTGTAAATGGTGGGACCGTTTATTATCCTATTATTATATTATTATTATTATTATTATTATTATTATTATTATTATTATTATTATTATTATTATTATTATTAATTATTATTATTATTATTATTATTATTATTATTATTATTATTATTATTATTATTATTATTATTATTATTATTTTGTCTATTATGCATTATTATTAGAGACATAGTTATGAAGATGCAATTGATGCAACACTTGCAACATTCATGCAGGAATGTAGCTTGTATCCTTCCAGCAGGATTGAGTTTCGTAAATTCTTCATATCAATGCAAAATATTTGTACAGCAAGTTTAACAGAGTGCGACCAACAGCAGTCCACTAACAATCATCCAACGTTTTCTTTCTCTGCTTGGCAGTACAAGTGCAGGAAAACTTAGGCACATATTTTCCTGAGAATGGGAATCGACCCCGAGACCTTTCGGTTGTAAGTCTAACGTTCTGAAGTACTAGAGTAAATGGTTTAAAAGGTAAGCATTCCATCAGGGTCCCAGAACACTACATAACTCCTACACTTACAACATCCTCTCGCGTTATATACTGGTTCCCTTTCCCTCGCATTTCTGTGTCGTCATAAGTTCCATTCTTCTACGTGCGGGTTATTTCTGTATTGTTCCAGTCACCGTATTGTGACTTTTAAATCTTTATATGACTCCTCTTTGTGTTTTCCTGGCCTTCGACAGGTCGGCCATCACCATCTTCCCTCAGAGAACTGATGGTAAACATGACTTCCGTGTCTGGAACCCTCAACTCATCAGTTTCGCAGGTTACAAGCAGGAGGATGGTTCTATCATTGGTGACCCCCTCAACGTTGAGTTCACAGAGGTCAGTCCTTTTTCGCCTCTAACAGTCTACTAGCTCTGCTTATTTTCACAAATTGTGTTGAAGAATTGGGATGGTCTAGGCCCTAGACCATCGCAGTTCGTATAGCCTAGACTCTAGGCCATACGAACTTTGTATCGCTCTTCTCACTGCTTTTTTAAGATAAAGTCTTTAAATATGTTTTAAGAATGTTTTTATACCAATAGGACAAACTTGTAGAATGTTCGTTTTACATATCAACGAGCTTTAAATCAGCCATATATTTAGTATGCCTGTTTCCAAAAGTCAAGCCTATTATAGGTAAACATCTCACTGGTTTAAACCAAAAAGTCACGTCTGTTCACTAATGTAGGCATCTGACAAATAAAAACGCGTAATATGCACTTATCTTTACTGATTAAAGACGTATAATATATTTACAATCTTCAAGAGGAATAGTAGCAGTGTAGATTATTGAAGTAAAACCTGATTACAAGCTTATTAGTATATGTTAAATTTAATTTATTCACTAATGAAAACTATTCAAAATCCAACATTAGACTAATTATATAAAAAACGCATGACACATAAATCATAAAACTTTCACTAATATAAGAATGTGTAACTGTCACACGACGTTAAGTACACACAGTGTGTGTGTGTGTGTGTGTGTGTGTGTGTGTGTGTGTGTGTGTGTGTGTGTTGTGTGTGTGTGTGTGTGTGTGTGTGTGTGTGCAGAAACTTTCCATACAGTTTATAGACCCATAGAAGACAATCGCAATCATCCAATATTAGCAAAAGGAACTGGGCAAATACAAGTCCATTCACTAATTATTATACAGCAGCAACCTATACCTGAAACCGAGTCCACACCAAGCAACCAGACAGTCCACACCAAGCAACCAGACAGTCCACACCAAGCAACCAGACAGTCCACACCAAGCAACCAGACAGTCCACACCAAGCAACCAGACAGTCCACACCAAGCAACCAGACAGTCCACACCAAGCAACCAGACAGTCCACACCAAGCAACCAGACAGTCCACACCAAGCAACCAAACAGTCCATACCGAGCAACTTCAGACAGTCCACAACAAGCAACTTCAGACAGTCCACACTAAGCAACTTCAGACAGTCCACACTAAGCAGCTTCAGACAGTCCACATAAGGCAAAGTATGGATTAAATGATCGTGTGTTATAGATACTCCATTCGTGACGCATGCTTCCAGAGGCAAAGTCAACACTGTAGTTACTCCACACTGGATAACACTGCCAAAACCATAACCAACGAGCATTAGTACAGAGATCTCCGAGGCTTTCAGAAGACATTGCCATTAAATCACTAAATAGACATAGGCTTCAGACATAATAGAATGCTCAAAAAATCTAAGTCTGCATGTGAGGTTGTGTGAAGGCATAGTCACCTAGCTCATGTCCTTCCCTGGTTGACGGCGATATACCAGAGTCGAGGCCTCCCCAGACTCATTGTGTAGATAGTACAAGGTGGCTCCAGGACCCGCCTCTGGTTCACTCAGCATTACACTTTAATATCAGACCTATTTTACAGTATTAGAAAAATGATAAATAATAGAGAAAATAATATGGGTTTTGTAAGATAGATCCTGACAGTGCCATTTAACACTAGTTTCAGTAACAATCATAAGAGTAAAACATTAATAGACACTAAAGAGAGACAAGCACAAAATTATGTACAGAAATCCGTTATACTGACTCCATGCCTGGTAGTAGTAGTTGTGATGTTAATGCGCAGGTACCCACAGGTGTGTCAGCGGCTGGGGTGGAAAGGACATAACAAGACGTGGGACGTGCTACCTCTGGTACTGTCCGCTGGAGGTCACGACCCGGAATGGTTCGATATCCCTCCCGACCTGGTCCTCATAGTGCCCATCGTCCACCCTGAGTAAGTATGGAAGAACTGTTGTTGGTATAGACTCTAGAAATAATTACCTAACAAGAGTAGTTTGTCATTAGATGACCTACTGAGTGATGCCGGCACTATGGCAAGGCAATGTCTGGGAACATCTGTCCAGGTGCAGTAAACAGTGACTTATAACACCAGTGTCCTAGGTAATTACAACATGTATAATAATTGTATTTATGTGTACCTGTCCCTAAATAAACTTACTTACCGCTGTGATATACTCGTGCGGTCTGAGTGTGCAGAGGAAAACATGTGTCGGGATACATGAAGGTATACTCGTATATATCTACGATGTGATTGCAGAGAACAAAATCTTCAGAAATAAACAGTGGTAAACGTGTTTCAAGGAATGACCTTAAGTTTTTTCCGCTGAAAGCCATTTTGTTCTCCATAACAACCTTAACGAGTTTCAGTTGTCTTCAGCAACGTCATGATGAACGATGTTTCACAAAATCAATAAGATAAGCATTTCTTTTTCTTCACTAAAATATACAAATCTTATCCAGATTTAGCATCTTCGTCTAGTGAAATGAGAGTAATAGTGTGTTAAGATTAATTAAATTCTCTTAAGTATTCCAGGATGCAATGGCGCTCTGAGATAAGAGATTCTTGTGTCGACAGATATAAGTGGTTCTCAGAGTTGGAGTTGCAGTGGTACGCCCTGCCAGCAGTGGCATCTCTCATGTTTGACTGTGGAGGGTTGGAGTTCCCAGCTGCTCCATTCAATGGCTGGTACATGGTCTCAGAGATAGGAACCAGAGATCTGTGCGACCCACAGCGCTTCAACATACTCGAGGTGATAAAAATATAAACTTTGTGTTGATACAAGATCAGTGTTTACATCTGTGTTTGTGGTTATTGTTAAAATGTCTCCTGGTGTGAATCATTAATCCATTATGTACATTATAGGTGGTTTCATATTGTTCACTACATACACTCACATTAATCAAACTGATAGATCAGCAAGCTTCGTGTGAGTAGTATAACCAGTGACACTTTTAATGTTCCCACCCATTTCAAGGAAGATTCCGTGACGCAGGTGGAAGGCTTTTGATCCAGAGAACTAGAGCGTTCTACTTTCTTGGATCAGTCCTGGTTCTCTGAAAGCTAAAGTCTTTTCCAGCAAAATGGAGAAAATTTAAGCGTGGCCTACATATTTAATAAACACACTCCTTCACCTTGTATATATAACCATCGCGTATGTTAACCATAGCTGTGTAGAGCACGCGAAGTATATAATACACGATAAACACCTTTGTACATAAGAAAAGTGAATAAATATGTTTTTCTCTAAATAA